ACCTAAGGGTCACGGGTTCGATTCCGGCCAAGGGCACGTACCTCAGTTGCAGGCTGGGTCCCCTGCCCCAGTTGGGGCAGGTGCAGGAGGCAACCAATAGATGTGTCTCTCTCACATCGATGTTTCTCTCTCTCTCCCTTCCACTCTCTCTGAAAAGCAATGGAAAAATATTCTCAGGTAAAAATATTCTCAGGTGAGGGGAGGGAGGGAGGGAGGGAGAGAGAGAGGGAGGGATTTAATCTGCATTGAAGCAATCCTAAACTTCCTACTAAAACTGTAAAAGGTTAGGCAAAAATTATATTTGCTGCAACCTTCATTGGGTGATGCAAATCCTGGAGGTCAAGACGAGTGGCTCTAACAGTGTAACAAGGACGCCTTAAAGAGCAGTCTACATGGGAGCAACTTCTTTTTAAAATTTGTTATTCTGTGAGTAGCTCTGCCATAAGCTGGCCAGGGAGAAGAAAAAAAAAGACAATATATCACTCAGCACTTTGGAAACTAGAATATATAAGCCAAACCTCAAGGATACAAGAATAAATAAGAGCCTCACCGAGTCCCTGCCCTCTCCCAGCCCAGGAAGGAGAGACAGAGAGTGAGGGATGGCATGAGTGCCCTTTTCCAGCACTGGGAGGGGGATGTGGCCAGCGGGCACTCAGGCCGGGAAAGGGTGGCCCACTTGGGGGAGGGGGTACCTCTGAGCCAGGTGAGACCGCACACCCCAGCCTTTCCCATGGGGTTTGCCCAATCTGGGGCCACCAGGGCTGCAGGGGTGTGGGGGAAGAATGTGGGGTTGGAATGGGAGATCTGGGGTCCAGTCCCAGCTGTTTTATCGCGTGGAGACTTCCTCGCGGTGTCGCCCGAGCAAGTCAACGCGAGCGTGTTGGACACAGTGGGATGAGCACAGATGGTTCTGTTTAAACCTCAGCTCTGCCTCTGCTCCCAGTGTCCCCTGCAAGCACATCTCTCTGACGGCAAGAACTATGCCCCCTTCGTCCTTGCGCTCCCAGCACCTGGGCAGCAGACGCTCGGTGCTGGATGAACCTCTTTCAGCCTCAGGGTTGCTGGGAACGTTAGATGAGTAAGTAACTGTGAAGCGTAAGCATTTAGCAAGTGCTCAGTAGGTATTACGAAGGTGACAGTGGGAATAATGGTAACGATGCTGAATCGGCTTTTTTAATACCTCAATTTCCTTGACTATAAAATGGAATAATAATTATAATAATTGCTTGACAGGATCATGTTTGTAAAAAACTAAGGTAGGATGAATACAGAAGCATTTTTTTTTCCCCTCCCACGGAAGTTTTTACCTCTCTTTCTTAAAGCATTAGTTATAGTACATGAGAATTACTTTTCCAGCCAGCTCGGTAGCTGGAAAATAGTAGGTGCTTGATAAATGTGTGCTAAGTTGGTAGCTTTTGTAATAATAGGGAGAAGCATAATCATAGAAAATGACGCTACAGAAATATAACCTTCAATTTTGAAGGTAGTAAGCATCCCAGCAATGCTATAAAGAATCTTTATAAATAGAAAGCAAGTGGCTTATAAATTAAACATTTTATGCCAGTGCATACATTTATTAATAATCTCTTGTAGTTGCCAATTTCTGGGGGTTTCCCATTCACAGAGTCAGCATCTCGGATCGATGTACCTTCCAGACATTGGTTCATCTCTTTCCTGAACTGGAAAATAATTTTTGTTTTTTGTACAGAATTCTTCCATCTTCAATATCATTTGAAACATTTTATTTATGTCACTAATACTTTCCCAATTTGGTTGAGCACAGGTGACTGAAACCATGAAAAGTGAAACCACAGATAAGGGCATCATCAGATGTCATAGATCCACTTATTTATGTATCAATACAATGAGCATTTACTGAGCATCTGCCATGTGTTGGGGCCCTGCCATGAACCACTCTAATTGACAACCATAAAGATTAAACTCGTGAATCAATGGTCTGCTCACATCACTGGTTGTGAGGGCAGACGTGCCAGAGGTTCCTGTCTGTTCCACGTTCCTCGCATCAAATCTGAATCACCCGTGTGAGCAGGTGGGATACAAACAGACCATCCTACTTCATTGTGTCTCATTTTGCTCTGGGAACATATGATGTAGTTTCCAAAGCCGGTAATGTCTGTCCTAAATTTGTTCATCTGTAAGTATTTTTGGTTGAGTAATTTAATGATTGAAACATTTCAGAGCTTTTCCCAGGGCATCAAAACTCTTAGCATGGTTTGTAAATTCTGCATCGCCCTCTGGCTGACTGTTCGCAGCTGTTGGGGAGCCTTTACCCCGTCTCTCTGTAAGTCCAAAGATCTGGCCTCACAAAGGAGTTTTCATACCTTTAATTTCTTTAAAATGTGTTTCAGTTGATCTTATATAATCAGGCCCTGATTGCGTAAAATACCAGAGACAGGGACAGTCCAAGGAGGGTAGATATTATTGTAAACATTTTTCTTAATCTTCACCTGAGGATATTTTTTCCATTGCTTTTCAGAGAGAGTGGGAGATAGAGAGAGAGAGAGAGACGTTGATATGAGAAAGACCTTGATCAGTTGCCTCCCACACATGCCCTGATCGGAGCTGGGCATCAAGCCGGCAACTATCGGCCAGAATCAAACTAGGGACCCCCTTCAGCCTGAAGGCTGAGGCTCTAACCACTGAGCCAAACCAGCCAGGGCTATTGTAAACATTTACATAATCCTTTGTTGGAAGAGTTTTTGAACCTGGAGCTTGGGAACATCTAAAATTCTTTCTGAAGACCTGACAGGATTCGGCTGAGAAGATTAAGGGAAAGAAGCCTGCATGAGGTTGTTGTTACCACTTCCTGCCCGCTTATTAGGAATAAAAATGTAGTGAATAGTAATTGTGAATTAAGTGCAAAATTCATTCATCCAGAGTTGACCGTTAGCTGAGTTTAGAGTGTCCTAATTCAGGAAGCAAACATCCTGTCAACCGCCAAGATGACTCCACGGCTAAGGCTCCCATCAGCAGCGCAGGCCTCACCGTGCACTCTCAGGGTGAAGGCTCGCTCGCCCTCAACACATGATTTTTTCCTTAATGTTTCCCCCTTTCCCTCACCCTTGGAATTTTTCTATGCTTCCTTTATATTCTAAGCATGATTTTATTAGGAGAGCTATGCACATTGCTAATGCTAAGCTGTATTAAAGAGCTGGACATAATGTCAAGGAGAAAACTATTCCGGGCAGAATTCCAAAAAACACAGACCCGGATGACTTCATTCCTAGCTCTGTCGCGTGGTGCTGTCCTTGGCCAATGTGTGGCGATTGATGTCCCTTCAAATTCCGAGATAGCTAAAAGCTTCTGAAAGGGTTAGTGAGATTTGTGGCAAGAGTTTTGCTTAGATTTTTAAAAAATTGTTGTTCCATTATAGCAGAAAGTTATTTTTAGTTCACTCTTCTGCATTCTTGTTAAATCATGTCTAATCTTGGTAAGGAGCAGCTTCCCAGATGAAGCCACAGGTCAGTTAAGGCTAGAATATCTGCTCATTAATAGTCCGACAAGGAGGACACTGATTTTGGTTTATATGGGTTAGCAGGCAATCATGTTCAGCTCAATTGAATTGAGGCAACTTGCTCTGCTAAAAGAGCAAATAACTGAACTTCTAAAAGGTCTTGGAACTATTCAGTTGTGAAGTCCATGAGAACATCTTAACATCTCTGAAACTGAGGATGCGTCTGACTGATAACGATGGCATGGTGAAGTTAATTGATAATGCTTTTTTAAAAAAAAATATGTGTTTATTGATTTCAGAGAGAGGAAGAGAGAGAGAGAAACATCAATGAGGAGAGAGAGTCATTGATCGGCTGCCTCCTGCACGCCCCCCACTGGGGATCGAGCCCACAACCTGGCATGTGGCGTGACCGGGAATCCCACCGTGACCTCCTGGTTCATAGGTCGACGCTCAACCACTGAGCCACGCCGGCTGGGCAAGAGCACCTTTTTAGATACGAGTTCTTTTCAGAAAATTCTTGAACATTCTGGGAGGCAGTGTAATGTTGAATGCTCTCAAGGCTCAAATCAGGAGTCAGACCACAGACAGCTCTGGGCCTAAAAATGCTTCCAAATCTCTGAGGTGCTCACTTGAATGTTTAAAATTCCTAGCATATCTGCCTTCAACCCTTCAACCCATGGTCCTGGGAGCAGCGAATCTTCATTTCCTCGCAGACCCCACTTCTTGGGCTAATTCCACGCGGGAGGCAAGTTTGATAAACAACAGGTAACCTGTCACCCAGCCCTTTTCTCAACAGGCGCAGGGAACAAGAACAGGGCCAGAGACTCTCGGGCAACAAAACAGCCAACGTTTATTGTTGATTTGTCACTCCTTCCGTGCCGCCTTATTTCCCCGCACACGTTAAACACACGCCCACCAAGCCTTCATCACGGTACACGCGGGGCGAGCGTGCGGGGCAGGCACGCGACCCAGCGCGTGGCCGTTCCCGAGGGGCCGTCCCTTCCCGAGTGGACGGGACACGGGTCGCGCTGGGCGGGAGGCGGCCGGCGCCACCAGCGTCTCTGTTCAGCTGCGGCCCGGCTCGCCTTTTCATTTGTAATGAAGCTTCTCTTTGTTTCTTCCTCCAGCAAATGCTTTTAAATTAGTGAAATACTAGGGGAGACAGGAAGGAGCCGGAGGACGGGCACAAAGCGTCGGTAGGAGCCCGGAAGTGGGTGGCGGACGTCGGGTAAGTCTCCTTGATGAAGACACAGCGCCGGTCACAACGACAGGAAGCCCCGGGCGACTCCGCGGCCCACCGTCCTCCAAAGGGGCCAACACGCACTCTGTGTCGGGATAAAGAGCTACGGCTCTTGCGGAGGGGACAGTGTCACGAGGAAATGGGAAATATCTCCGATGTCTATAGCACAGCAATAACTAAACGTGATAAAACATTAAAGGGCAAGGAGGTATGTCCGTAAAAAATCACAGGGCACGTGTTGGACGAAAAGCCTGATTGATGGGGTTACACGGTTGTGCTCCCGGGGTGGCCCCTGGTGCCGAGGCGCAAACACCCCCTTTCAAGTTCATTTCCTCAGAGGCTGGACCTCAGATGCGGGCGCGCCCTCCACATGCTCTTTGCCTTCATTCTTCTTCATCCGAATGAACACCACCGCCAAAATTACCCCTGCGCGAGAAAACTCGGTCAGGCGGGCGATCGGACAGAGCCGTCGCCCCCGTTTACAGAGCAGCGCCCTGGCAGGAGCCCCGCGACTTCATTGATGTTTGTGGTTCGACAGAATTCCTATCCTGGTGGGAGGGGGATGCCGGGCCTTGACCCTCGGGGGAGCTACTGTTCCTGAGGCCCAGGACGGAAACCCTTGAACCTGAGATGTTATACTCACCGATGACCAAAAAAGTGGTCAGGAGAATGCCAACTGCCATGCCCACCGTGGGCATCCCACGCTGGTGGCCCACTGGCTGGAAACACCTTCCTTCCACACACGTGCAGAAAGTAACTGACAAGCAGAAGGGCATTTGGTGGTTTAAGTTTTTAAGTAAACAACTGCAGAACCTCGTGTCAAAGACGAGAAATCCTTCAGACTAGCCCCGGGAATGGACACGGCCTGCAGCAAGATACCTACCTGGTAAAGAGACGGTCGCTTCCAAGGGTGGCTGCCCACCGTCGTTGATGCGGATCGGGACGTTATAAACTCTCTCCTCGAAGCCTGTGTGCTTGGTGGAGACTCTGGCATGAGTTCCTGTCAGAACAGGGGCAAAATGAGTGAAAGGATCGCAGAGCCAGCACCCAGGGCAGCAGGAACCAAGCGCATGGTTGTCTCACACGCTAAGGGTGGCGGGAGTGGTTAACTGGAAGCAGGAGTTAAACTACCCAAAGTGTGCCCGCTCCACAGGCACCGCCCACAGTCTAGAGCGTTTTGCAAATCCTCAATTCACGCTTTCTCTGCAGAAACAAGCACTAAATGCAGCCAGTTGTCATTGTTCCCGGTAGTTAAGTTGATAAAGTTGCATGAACGCTGAATTATATTTAAAAATTTTGAAGAAATTATTGCTAATTCTTGCCACCCCAGATTTAATAAAAACTAAATCCTCAGTCCAAGAAGATCAGCGAATCTCAGGGAAAAGACAACAGCAACAAAACACACAGAACTACGACAAGGCTCATAACAATCAAATGGCTCAAAGCTGGTACTGAAGAGAAAAATCTTAAAAGCATCCAGAGGAAAAAGACGCATTACATTCAAGGGAACAAAAAAGAAAAAATGCAATCCAGAGCACAGGAGAAATCTTTAAAGGACTGAAAAAAAGGCTCAATACATCGAAAAGTGTTCCAGCCCAATGGTTTCTGGTCACTGTGGAATTAAGTTAGAAATCAGTAACCAGAAAGATATGGGAACTAAGTGACACACTTCTAAATAACTCACGGGTCACAGGAGAAATCTAAAAAAAAAATTAGAAAGTATTTTAGACTGAACGAAAATGAAAACGCGATACGTCTAACTTTGTGGAATGCAGGTCAAGTGACACTAACAGATGGATTTATAGCACCAAATGCCTGAGTTAACCAAGAAAGAAGCTCTCAAGTTAGTTACCTCGGCTTCCACCATAATGAAAATCATCCAAGAACAAATTAAATATAGCATAAGAAGAATAAAGGAAATAATACATATCTAAGCAATGAAACACAAAACAAAAACACAATATAGAAAAATCAATGAAATCAAAAGCTGGTTCTCTGAGAATATCAATAAAATTAATAACCTCTAGCCAGATGGATGGGGGGGGGATAGAGGCATTATTTTCCAACACCAGAATGAGGTGATATCGCCACAAAGTCTACAGATATTAAGAGAATAATAAAATAATATTGCAAATAGCTTGTGCCAATAAATTAGACAAGTCAAATGAAATAGACAAATTATTTGAAAGATATAAACTATAAGCTCACCCGGGAAGAAGTCTATAACTTGAATAGCCCTCTATCTATTAAAGAAGTTGTATTAATTTGTTTTGATAAAATCCTCGAAAATGCAAACTAATCCACAGTAGACAGAAAGCAGGTCAGTGGTTACCGGGGATGGGGGAAGGTGATAGGGATCGTAACAGAGCATGTAACACCTTTGGGGGGGTGGAAATATTCTCATCTTGACTGTGCCGACTGCATTCAACGGTGTACACACACATCAATTTTCATAGAATTATATGCTTTAAATATGTGCTGCTTGTTGTCTGTCAGTCATAGTTCAATAAAGCTGTTTCTGCAAATCATTACGAAATCTGTGTCTCAGCTGCCATTGGAGATTCTGCAGATGCTGCTCGGATTATCCAACGATCCACCTCCGTTCACCAGGGGCGGCGCTGAGTGTCGACAACCCTGCCTCCCTCCCAAGCCTGGGCCTCCTCCCTCTGGAGAACGGCCCTGGGCAAGGCCCAAAGCAGGACATGCCCGGAGGGCAGCGGTGCCCTGCGCCGGGCGCTGCAGGCCCACCGGGCGAACAAAACCCGCCCGGGCGCCCGTCGGTGCTCCTCTCGTTGCGCTTGCAGCCACTCACCATTGATCTTGGCCACCTCCCAGTCGTTCCGCAGGCTCTCGCGGCCGAGGGAAAATGTGAACTGTGGCCCCCGAAAGGATTGCTGGTCGTCGTCAGTGGCCTCGACGACGAGGCTGCCGGGGGCGGGGAGGGGGTGGCAGAAGAACAGGCCCGTGTACTCCTTTACTAGGCGCGGGGGGTTGTCGTTCACATCCGTGAGCGACAGGTGGAAGTCCGCCGTGGTGCTCAGGGAGGACCCACCTAAGGAATGGTCATCCAAACAGTGTCAGCTCTCATTTCCTCTTAAGAAAGAATATGTATTTTAAATATGCCTTTATTGATTTCAGAGAGAGGAGGGGAGGGGGGGAGAGAGACATCAGTGATGAGAGAGTCACTGACCGGCTGCCTCCTGCACACCCCTGCTGGGGGTCGAGCCCGCAACCCGGGCCTGTGCCCTGACCGGGAATCGAACCGTGACCTCCAGGTCCATGGGTCCACGCTCAACCACTGAGCCACGCCGGCCGGGCTTGAAAGTTTATTTTTTTGGTCTAAAACTGTATTTCTTTGGTCATAATTTGTTCAATTTTCATTTTTTTGGTAAACCAAGCAGATATAGTGACTACCTACTAATGAGAGGCTCAATCAGCATAAGATCAACAGAATTCCTGCTCTACCTTGAAAAAGAGCTTGACCCGGCTCCCGGGAGAGACCCCCAAGCACTTTGGAGAAGGCGGGCACACGGGAACCTCCCTGGAGCTGCGGCGGCTCCGGGAAACCAGAGTGAGCAGCACCCATGGGCCCCGCCAGCGCCAGGGCAGGGCGTCCTCGGCCGGAGCCGGGCAGGAGCTCCCTCCACTTCTGTGCACGTCTTGTCCTTCGGCCACCAGACCGTCTGACAGCCCGACCCGTGAGCTTGCCCACTCGCCTTCCCGCCCTCCCGTTTGTCTTGACGACCCCCTGAGAATCTGGTACTCTTTTCACTCACCTACTTCAGTGGCCACCACTTGCACGCGATACAGACTTTGGGCTTCCCTGTCCAGCGGAGCCGCGCTGAAGATCTCGCCTGTGACGGGGTCAATTTTAAGCCAGTGCCTCGTGTCGCCTCTCAGTGAATAACTTCATAACGTGAAAAGAGCAAAAGAAAGCCCGCATTACTTTCCGTGAAAGCGTGAAGGTAGTTTACGCATCCTGTGCTGTTACGTCAACACGCATATTACTCACGGTGCGTTTAAAAGATCATCGTTTAATATTATTAACGATCTATTTGCATAACGTCTATCTTCAAGACGAAGGTTTGCTCATCTTTACAAAGTGGTAGTTTCCTTGTTTTGTTAGAAAATGCACAGTCACAAACTCTGGGGGAAAACAGTTAAACTTTATCGGACGAAAGGGAACTTTAGTTCCCGGCAAGGAGTGGGTCCCGCGGGCCGAATAAAAGATAACTTTAATAATAAACAATACATTTTCTTTATAAATGTTTTTACTTTTCATAAATAACTCAAAAAATAGATAAGATAG